AGTTGTTCCGAATCTTCGTGTTTGTCCGTGTGCAATTTATGTTTTAAAACGTCCTTACAACACAGGATACTGTTATCCTAAAGTAAGGGCAATGTTTCTTTTTAAAAAAAAATATGAGCTTAAATCAAGCCTCGTATTCGTATTCGATAAAGAAATTTTGACTTTGACTTTGAACGCTTGTCTGATATTGAAATAATTGCTTAAATGAAATTTCTTTTTCCAGTCCAATATGAAATTGACCGTCGAAGATCAAGATGTTTCCAGCATTTTCAATGATTTCTTGGAACTTGGTCTGCCTTCGTTCCTGAGGGAGTATGAGGTAAGGGAATATTAATATAAATAGATCCAATATGTTCTATGTAGTTTTAGATTTCGGTCGAAGCGGAATTTTCAAAAATCTCGCGTTGATCTTATCAGCTATCGTGAAAAGATACCATCCGGTAAACCCTTTTAAATTTTAATACCAAATGGCATCACTTTCTTTTTAGTGCTTCACAACCAGGATTGCTGATTCTGTACAGGTGTTCGCTTTTAAATCAATATTCTCGAAACGTTGAAATGCAATTTTCCATGATGAATTGCTTGAGTGTTCAGCGGCGAAGGAAATATTGTGAGGAAACCTAAACATTTTTAAAATAGTAATAAAATATTTTTTCGCTCATATGCGAGGCGATAATCACCGGTGGGGGATACATGAGCGAATACTCTCTGTACAGAGGAGGCCTTTGCCCAGCAGCTGGGCATATTTAGGCTGTAACATGACTAAATATAGAGTTGGTTCATTTATTAGCACAACTAGGTTTTGATATTAAAAGGCCTACTCTGTTCTGAGGGTATTGGGGCAGAGTCCACCATGGGAACCCACTGCGGATTGGCAGAGTTCACATATTTTCGAAAAATAATTGTCATTATTTCACAGCCTACCTCACGATGTTTTCCTTCAGCGCTGAGAGCATACAGCATTAAAAATACAATATTAACCATTAAATTAGTATTGGCACCGGGATATGAACTCAGGTTGCTCGACTACATTAATTTAAAGCTATTGCCCGGACGCTGAGCCAAAAAAGAGCCGTGATACTCTTATTTATTTATTACGGAAATTACAATGAAATAAAATGTATTTTATTATTTATAGGAGGCCCTCAACGAAAGTTTGTCGCAGCTGGTCTTAATGATCATTGACCGTCGTTGACTCGAAGATATTTACAATGTTTAAAAAGAAGCATTTTCTGTGTTATTTAATTTCCTAACTTAAAGTTATGATAATTTGTAAATAAAATAAAGAAATGTTTTCGTTTATTAAATCTTCATTAATAACGATTGTTAAAGATATTACCCACGAAATAGCTTTTATTCATCCAGTAGCTCATTTATCAGTCAAAACGTATGAAATGAATCAAAAAAATATAGAATAGTCTCGATTGATTCGTAAATTAAAGACGGAAATTACTTGCAAAATGAGGTCAACGTTTCCTCTATTTGGTCCTTATTTGGTTATCCTTTATTTGGTTTGAGGGTATATGATCAAGGACACAAAAATAAAAACTAGGGTAATTAGCTCTTTCGCTCAATTAAAACCTCGAGGTAGGGACGAGGTCCGCTTATTTCCATTTCTCCCGTTAATTTTCCAAGGGCACCATAATAAAACGGTAAACATCAGGTGGATCAAGATGAATTCATTTAAGGAAGGAAAGAAACTAGGTGGTAGGGCCACGCAGCAGCCTCGGCTGTTGCACGAATGGGCAGGCCCGTCCGGGTAAGGTACCACGACCTCACAGAAGATCGGCGTAAAGTGGAAGTATGACAAATACTTTCGCGTTTAGTCTGGTGAGGGAGGTAGCCGGAGCCAAATTTTCAAAAGCTTGTTAACGCATCTGTAACCCTCGGGTGTAGCAGATGTCCATGGGCGGCGGTATTCACTTACCATCAGGTGAACCGTCTGCTCGTTTGGCAACTTTTCACATAAAAAAAAGCATTGTGTATAATGGTTTATAATAAAATGATATATTATTTACTTTTCACTACAACTCATACTTTAACAAGAATAATATTTATAATAAAAATTAAGTATGTGCTATCTGAACATTATATGGCCAAACTGGTGACCAAGATCTTTGGTCTTAAGCGTAAGATTGTAAGTTTAGATTAAAAAAACGCAAGTGACACGAACTTCTGTAGGTTATTTAGGCCTACGTCTGCATGTGTGCCTTAATTGCTGTTAAAAAAAATCAAAAATGTTTTTTTTTGTGAAATAGGTAATTAATATAACGCACGTGGTAATTATCCGTAAAATAATGACACGTATGACCACTTCATACGTGGCATTATTGTATATTTTATTTTATTTCCCTTATGTATATCTGATAAAGGTTCAGTCCGTTCGATTAATCATTACAAATTTGCCTTTTCCCACTCGGCATTCCATACTTTGTCCCCTCTATTCGTCTCCCAACTTATAGCTTGAAGAAGTCATAACATCCGGAACCCTGAAAACACTATTCGGAAATATAACATTCAGAAGATTCTTACTACGGAATTGGCGTTGAATGTTGTGTTCCAAATTCCCAGAATTGTGGATCATCGGACCCGGATATTTATATATATAATGATCACACATGATAACCGCTAGCCTATCGATGGAAATCGGGCTGTCGTTAAAGGGTTCTGGTTTGTTCAGGGCTGACTGAGTATTTGCAAAACTTAACACAAGGCTACCGGTCTGTAATTGGTGCTTCCATGCGGCAAAGGCCTCTTGTAACTCAACACAGTTCTCAGTACAGATAGCTACATCGTCAGGGTATATTAATGCTCACAATGCTGAATTTTGCGCTTCCTCGGTGAGTGAGTCCAAAACCAAACAAAAGAGAAACGGACTGAGTACTGAGCCCTGGTGAACTCCTGTGACCGCTATAGATTTGTTTGAACCACTAACGTTCGTAAGTTTAAACTAGCATTCTTATAAATGTCGGCGATGATGTTGACATATTTTTCGGAGATGTTCTTATTACAAAGACCCCACCAAATAGTATTTCTTGGCATTCGTTCACATGCTTTGTCCATGATCAGGAATGCAAGATACAGTGGACGGTTTTTTGAGCGATAGAAAGCAAAGTAAAAGTAAAGTAACAGCCTATACATGTTCCCACAGCTGGGCAAAGGCCTCCTCTATACAGAGGGCATCAGGGCATAGTCCACCACGCGGCCCCACTGCGGATTGGCGGTCTACACATATCTTCGAAATACATTTTTTTGTTATTATTTCGAAAATATGCAGGTTTCCTCACAATGTTTTCCTTCACCGCGGAGCACGTGACAATTCAGCACTTGCAATTAACAAACGTGACAATTCAGCACTTAAAGTTAAAAACTTCATTGGTGCCGGCACCGGGGATCGAACTCAGGTTGCTCGAGTATATATTGAATTAAAGGCGAGCGCCCGGACACTGAGCTATCACGGCTCATTTTGAGCGATATTTGTTAGCTATTGTGTTGAGGGCAAACATGGGATTTGTGGTCTACAAACGAGGTACGAAGCCGTAGTGATTTTGGACAATGAACATTCAGATCTTAAGCGGCTGTCCATCACTCTTTCATGTAGCTTAGCGCTTCATAGTTTGACTGAGACGCTCGATCCCACAATAGTTGCACTCGTACTTGCTACCTTTAGCCTTTAAAGTATGTACACTATTAATATAAAAATGGGAGATGTTTGTTATTATGCAATAAAATTTTGCCAAGTAACAATATTTGTGAAAATCTATTTTTGTTCATAACATCAATATTAATATATACGTATTTAATTAATCGTTCACTACTTATGTCTAAATTTGCAAAGAGCTTATAATTGATTTGTTTTACTGAAAGGACTAATTTAGCAAAGTATTTTCACAGCGCTAGTTTGCCGATGGCGTGTATGGATAAGATACCCCTAGTAACAAAAGTGGTTAATAAAAGAAATAAAAAAACAGGGATATTTATATTATAAAACTTATAATTTATATTATAACTTATAAGACCTCACCAGCTTTTGAGTATTTTGTGATTTGTCGTTAATTGTATCTAACGTAATGTAATATCGTGTAATGTATCTAACATTATAATAATTGTATTATTATTATAATGTTAGATATATTATTCTAATTAGATTTAGAATGAGGGCCCTTATGCATTCAATTTGATAACTCCAGATTTTATTTTAATAATTAGTTTAAATGAGGTCTATGTGGCGATGGGCCATCTAACTCGAATAATCGATAGCTAGTGGGGAAGAAAGGTTCTTGAGTGGCAGCTTCATACTCGTCATCGCAGTGAAGGACGTCTCGCCACTAGATGGAGTGACGATCTGTGCAAACGCGCGGGAAGTGCATGGATGCAGGTGGCTCAGGAAAGTGCATCGTGGTGGTCTGTGGGGGTGGCCTATGTTTAGCAGTGGACTCAAACAGGCTGAAATGATGGCGATGAATGTCTATGTATTTTATTTTCGATAGACTTATTGTAATACTTTGTTATTTTGACCTTGTGGGTTTGTATCGTCGAGTGGTAAAGAGCTAACGCAAAAGATTTATGCGTTATTTAAATTTCAATAATGAAAAGGATTGTCTTTGATGCGATCATGAATTGGAAAATTGGCAACAAGAATAATTAAAAGTAATGAAATCCTTCACTAAATGACAAACGTTGTTAAATGCCTAATAACACATACAATTAATATTGCCATATCGAATCTAGCAAGTCATCAGGCACGTAAGTGATTAATTATGTTTAGATTTTATCGGTTTTGAAATTAGTATAAAGTTGATGGTGTTGTGAAATATTAGCAATTAGTTTTAAAAAGAAGGTGAGTTATCCACTTAGTTTTCGCAGTGTTAAGTTATAGAATTCCTTATTTTTGCAGATATTTTGCAGATTCAATCGGTACTGTAAAAAATGATATAAAAACATTGCGTGTTTGGTTTTATTTATTTAAAAATGGCTCTATTTTTAATAGGAAGGAAAAAATGAAGACAATCGCAGTTGCGCTTATCTTGATGTTCGCTGGCGTCAATGCCGTGCCTTACGAAGTTCAAAATGTTGGTAAGTAAAAGAAGAATTGGGTACACTTATACACAAAATATATATGAGATTTTACTATCGTTGTTTATGGTGTTGGTGTTGATATTGATTTTTATAGAGTCTACCTATACACAATAATGTCGAAATCGGAAGTATTTAAAAGAAAGTAAAATTGTTTAAATAGTTTCCTTAGGTTGGGTTTTCTAATGAAGTTATGCTTGCAATGTACAGATCTAGAGGACAAGACAAATTCTAACGACATCATTGGTATTGTCGATAGTATCACCCAGCTGATCAAAGATAATGGTCTTGACCCATACGTAGTGGAATGGGCTGAGGGCGCCTACAATTTACCGGTGAACGGGTAAGTTAATTTTATGAAAATTTGGTTTTTAGGGTACCGTACCCGAAGGGTAAAACGGGACCCTATTACTAAGACTCCGCTGTCTGTTTGCCTGTCTGTTTGTCTGTTACAAAGCTGTATCTTATGAACCTTGATAGTTAGACATTTGAAATTTTTATTAGTTAAAAATATTTCATTAGGGCGACTAGAGATAACAGACAAGATTATTTTGCGGTTTTTATAGATAATGGTACGGAACCCTTCGTGTGCGAGTCCGACTCACACTTAGCCGGTTTTTATCACTTGATAACTAAGGCAAAGGTTTTTCTTTTATATTCTATAGCTTACTTCCTTTCTTTGAACCGTTCTTCGGATATCAGATAACATAGATATAAATTGCCTATTGAAAATAATTTCACAGCATCTTCAGCGCCGAAGCTTATATCAAGAACTTCGTGCTCTCCGGCCTCAGTAACTGGAATGTAAACGACATCGGGTTCAATAAGAACATCTTGAGTGTCGACATCGAGCTGCCACTACTGGAAGCTAGCGTTGGTAATATATTATTTTACTCTAATTTATTTTGATGCAAAGAAATAGCTTCATCTTATCATTAAGTCAATTAATCGATGAAATTTTAACTATACGCATTACAAATCGTTTTGCAACTTAAGCCTAGAATAAATTTGTTTTAGACTATTAGATAAGATAGCTCAGTGATAGCTCCGTGTCCGTGATAACTCAGTGTCCGGGCGCTCGCCTTTAATTTAATATACTCGAGCAACCTGAGTTCGATCCCCGGTGCCGGCACCAATGAATTTGTTAATTTCAAGTGCTGAATTATCTCGTGCTCAGCGGTGAAGGAAAACATCGTGAGGAAACCTGCATATTTTCGAAATAATAATAAAAAAAAATATTTCGAAGATATGTGTGCGCCAATCCGCAGTGAGGCCGCGTGGTGGACTATGACCTGATACCCTCTGTTCAGAGTAGGCCTTTGCCTAGCAGTGGGACATGTATAGGCTGATATTTTACTATTAGATAAGAATTAACGCTCTGAAATTGTATTCTTGTACACATAATAACAGCAATCTTCACGATGTTTTTTAAGATGCTGCGGTTGCTGACGTATGGATTTTCCAAAGGAATCTTGAAGGCAAAATCAGCGGGAGGCACGTATTACTTATTCACTTGACGTACTATGTGTGTATGTTATATGTAATGAGGAGGGATGATGTAATGCTACCCATTACCCACAGGCATGAGGAATAGATATATGAATGAAGCGTGAAAGGGTTGGGAGCATCGCCAAGGAAGAGATCTGTAATATCTCCTTATCCCTAAAAGTAACGCACCTATGTGTTTGTATCGTAGTGTATGCACGTATAAATTTATTTTAAAGACTCTTGCACTAAGAAATAAAACGCGAGAGGCTTCATAAACATTATAGTCACGAGGACAAATTACACCGAGTACTAGTATTTAATAACTAATTTACTACTATTTTGTACTCATTTTTAGTAACTAATTACTCGGAACAACTATTTATGGATCAGACGGCGCCCAATAGCAGTTGGTATGGTGACAACATAGATGACTGAGCTACTTAAACAGTTTTAAGATATAATTCTATTTTAGATAATTTATTACTGTCTCTCTTAACTCTATAATTCCGATTACGATTTATAGAGTTAAGAGAGACAACAACGTCGTTAAACTCTTAAATAAATGTCTGTTTGAGTTTTTAGTGATAAAAAGAATCCTATGCCCTTTTTAATACCTATAAGAATATGTTTACAAAGTTTCATGATAATCGGTTGAGTAGTTTTGGCGTGAGACAGTAACAAACAAACTTATATTCACATTTATAACATTAGTAGGGATACCTCTGAGCTATTATGAATATTAATACCTTTTTTGAAGTTAGAGTAAAATTTTTACGATGTGCGTAACACTGACCCCCAAACCCCCACACCGACCCCCAAAAAGCGAGATGATGAAGTTGGTCGCAAAGCAGGCAACTTCACGGTATTACCGTCGCAACCAATAACAACATGACATTTTCCTATAATTCCAAGTTATCTAATTGAACCGCTATCGATTAAATTTAATGTCTGTTCAAAGAATACAGGCACAGAGGATTAAATGTTTAGATATTTTTATTTTGTTACTCTAAAGAAGTATAACTTCTTATGTGCGTTCATAAGTACACACACGGTTATTTTTGTAACGCGGGAAAAATCCTTTATCCCTGCCACCGGATCAGGGGAGGGGTAGGGCCCGGTCAGAAACGGGTACCTACTAAAAACCCACGTTGCATCTGTCTCTGTCGCATCGGCCGGGGACACGGGAACACGAAGACGCAATCTTCCGCGATATGAATGTTAATACCTCAAACATTTTAACAAATTTAATCATCTTGTTCTTAACAGGGTGGCTATTAAAGGGCTTCGTGTCGCTGGTCAGTTAAATCTCGGGCTATCTGGACAATTGACCGATAGGTTAGTTCTCCAGTGCAGCCTTGGGGATATTGAGGTAGGTAATTTGTTTATGTATTGTTTCTTTTTAACTTTTACTTTCCCTATACGAAAGAGTTAAGTCATCTTGAAACAATGTGGTACTCGTAAAGTTATATAAAGCTAAAAATTTAAACTGGTAGAATTAACTTTGTTATCATATATATGTTGAAGGTTTTTTGTTTATTTCAAAGATTAACACTACAGGAGGTTCCGATGTGATTGTTATAGTAATAAAAGTACACTAAATACTTGGGTGTTATTTAGTAGAGCGTTGAGTGCATGAGATGGCTCCGTGGCGCAGTTGACAAGGTATTAGCTTCGGCATCGGGGGTCGTGGGTTCGATTCCCACACGGGACAACTATTTGTATGACCCACAGATAGTTTTTTCGCATCTGGGTGTTTGGCTGCGTGAAATTTATGTTTGTAAAACGTCCTTAAAACACAGGATAAAGTTATCTTAAAGTAAGGGCAATGGTTTTTAGAAAAAAAATTAAAAAATATTTCTTATGTTTGTATTGTATTGTACTGTATCTTATTTTTAGATTTATTTTTAACTAAAGTATAAAAAAACTATATATTTTTAATTTACAGTCTGAACTTTACTTCAACCTCTTTGGCAACGACTTATCCGACAGCGTGAATGATTTTGTGGGCAACAGAGTTCCTTCTGCCCTCATCGAATTCGAGGTAAGATAGAATAAAAAGTCATGCTAATCAAGAAATCGTGACCATAACTTTAAAGCCCCGATAACATTATGACAATTTAATGAAAAAAAAATCTCATGCAAAGCGTACAAATTTCTGTAAACAATTTCATAAGAATATTTATTAAGATAAAATAAATAAAATAAAAAAAAATAACATACCTATTTTACCTTTTTGAAACAAGAAATTTAGGAATTAACTTCGCACTATTTATTTCTTACAAAGGTGGCATGTCACAGTTTCTCTATTATAAACAAATGTTTACCATTAACTTTAATTAATACCTAAAATTTTTTGATCATTTTTTTGGTGAAAACTTGAATGTTTCGATGTAACCGGTAGGTTTCAACAATCAAAAACAAGTATAATAAGCATAATAAAACGTTTTTAAAGTAACTCAAGTAAAACTTAAGGTTGCAAACTTATTACTATGCAGTTGAAAGCTTTTTTTATGTGAAAAGTTGACAAGCGAGCAGGCGGTTCACCTGATGTTAAGTGAATACCGCCGCCCATGGACATCTGCCACACCCGAGGGTTACAGATGCGTTGACAACCTTTTGAAAATTGGGCTCCGGAAACCTCACTCACCAGACGAAACGGGAAAGTATTATCCTTCGACTTGACGCTGGTCTTCTGTCAGGTCGTGGTACTTACCCGGACCAGCCTGCCCATTTGTGGAACAGCCGGGGCTGGTGCGTGGCCCTACCATAGTTAATTCTTGTGATCGGTTATGACATTTCAGCTACGTCTATCGAAGACATATTTATTGTAACTCTTGTGAAAATGTCGCAATAGTTACTATTATAACTTTCTTGCGAATGTTTAATTTTGACGATGATGAAATGAAGATGAACAGCCCTTATTAAAATTTTACACGGAGAGACAAGTTATTAAGTGATTTTAGTCTAGAACATTATGGTTCCGAAAAAATAAATATTTCTAAAATAAATGTACCAGCCGTAACAGATAACCGTTTTTATGTTTATACATCAGTTCTAAAGATATGACTAAGAATGTTTTTCTTTTTTTTACAGGAGCAACTCAACCGCCTCTTCGTCAATATCATTACGTCTATTTTGAACCGTCTGACATAAGACGTTCTTTATAAGTTCATACATAAATCTGGTAATATGTAAAATAAAACATGTCAAGACATTAAAATTATTTTACATGGCATGTATTCATTTTAAATAGATTTTGTAATATTTTCGATCTGCGCCGTTTTCCTGTGTCAAATTGGATAACTGAATAATTTTATATAAATTTCTATTCAACTGACAATACACCTCAATGTTGCAGATTAAACTTGAGAATCCTTTTGATATTTTACATACAGCTATGGCTTTATGAAGACCATGGTCTTCTCATAAATAAGGCTATAAAATTAAAGTACAGAAATACTAACTGTGTTCTCTGTTCTTTCATATCCGAACTATACGCTATGTATATAA